GAAAGATAGTTGGATACCTCACCAAGATCCTTCATGTCAAAGTGCTCCTTCAGTTGAGCTAGGGTGCTTTGGTACAAAGCCTGATTCTTCCAAAACATCAGAAGATCATCAACAAAACATAAACAATACAGTTTGTTTTGCCCCCTCCTCCTTGACAAACACACATGGATCAGCTTTGCCCTGGTGAAAACCTAGAGAAAGCAATGTCTCAGTGAGTTTTGTGTTCCAACACCTGGCACTCTGCTTGAGACCATATAAGGATTTCCGTAGTTTACAGACCATTCCCCTCTGTATCTGCATCCCATCAGGTGGAAGCATAAACAGCTCCTCGTCCAAAATACAAAAAAGCTGTATTAATGTCATGATGGGAAACATGCAGTTTCTCCTCCACAGCAATCTTGAGCATCAGCCGAATGCTCTCATACTTGACTGTGGGAGAGTAGGTCTCGTGGTAATCCTGTCCTGGTACCTGTGAAAAACCTCTGGCAACCAATCTAGCTTTGTGTCTAACTACCTTGCCATTCTGGTCTGTCTTGGCCTTGAAGACCCATTTGCTGCCAACCAGTCTCATTCCTGGGACTACTGGTACCAGTTCCCAAGTTTGGTTCCTGTTCAAGGAATCAACTTCAGCCTTCATGGCATTAAACCAAGGCTCAGCATCCTTAGAGGTTAACTCCTGAACCTCTTTGAAGCTTGAAGGTTCCCACACCTTCTCTGAGCTACTAAGAACAGCAGTTGCTGTCTTAGCAAACTCATCAGCAAATCTCTTTGGAGGTTTGCCCTTCGTCGCCCTTTCAGATCTGCATACTAGACGCAAGTCTTCTGGACTCATCTCCTCCTTCTTAGGAGAAAAGTGACCAATGGTGAACAGTGGTTCTTCCAGTTCATTGTCAGACGCATCAGATGGTCTGACTGAGGCCTTTGCGCTCTTGTAGTCTGCTGTGTCATCACTGTCACTGACACCAGCAGCAGCGCTGCCCACTGAGCTGGAATCCGAACTCTGATCATCATCATCATCCTCAGCTTCCTCAGCATCATCTGCTTTTTTTACATCACCTTCATCCTCCTCTGGGTAACTGGAAAATTCCCACATTTTCCCCCCACTTAGGATTGTACTCAACACTCTTTGTGAACTTAATGGACTTAGAGTCAGTCATCCACACCCTGTATGCACCTTTTTCGTACCCCATGAACAAACCATGTGCCCCACGCTTCCCAAGCTTGTTGCTTTGTGGGGTGTGTACCCACATGTCAGAACCAAAGATTCTCATGTGCTTGACGCAAGGTTTCTTACCAAACATCTTCTCATAGGGGGTACAACCAATAGGTGATGACAATCTGCGATTATAAGTGTAAACAAAATTCGACAGAGCCTCCCCCCAATACTTATCAGGGAGATTGGCATCATGCAGCAATGTTTTCATTCCTTGCAGCAACGTTTGATTTGCTCGCTCCACAAGTCCATTCATCCATGGCGATCTAGGCGTTGACAAGTCATGCTGGATTCCCTTCTCAGTCAGGAAAGCTTCGAACTGCTGAGAAGTGAACTCCCCGCCCCGATCAGTAAAGAGACAGCCGATACATTTACCGTGAACATTCTCCAACCAAGCACAGAATGCCTTGAACTTAGGAAACGCTTGCGATTTCTGCTCGAGCATAAACACATGAATGTACCTGGGAAAAGAATCAATCAGAACCATGAAGTACCTTGCTCCTCCCAAAGAGGGCGCAAGTGGACCAACCAGGTCTGCGTGGACTAGCTGGTAGGGTTTGGAAGCCTGCCTGCTAGACTCCTTGCCTTTTGGAGCAACCTTCACCTTGTTCTCTGCACAAGATACACATTTCATGTGAAACTTACAGGGTTTGATGTTCAAACCCTGAACCAATCCTGGCATCTTGGCCAGCGCCTGCCAAGACAGGTGACAAAATCTGCGATGTGCATCATGAATGCATCCTGCATGAAGAACTTTGTTAGTTTGTGCAACACAACAAGAATCAACATTAGACACAACAGCACCATTGTCATCATAAGTTATACAGAACAATCCATCTATAAACTTTGCATGCAAAATGTCTTCTTTGCATTTCCTGATGACACAGACGCTCCTCTTGAAGGAAATCTCAAAACCACGCCCAGTAAGCTGTGGGACACTGAGCAAGTTGTCTGCAGCACCTGGAACATAAAGTACACCTTTAATGGTTGTGTGCAGACTTGCCAGTCTCACAGTCCCTTCTCCTGCGATTCGCAACGTCTTTCCGTCAGCTAGGCGGATCTCACCATCTTGAGGTTTAAAGGAGATAAAGAGATGCCGGTCTTTTGTCACATGGCGGGTGCATCCAGAATCTATAATAAATCTGGCCTTGGCCCTTGGAGCAGCTTTTGCAGCAAGCAAAGCCTTGTTTTCCACCAGCGTGGGCTTTTGCTGCTTGCCCCCCTGCTCCTGGCCATCAGACTTGCCTTTAGCCTTTGGTGAAGCTGTGCCAGCAAACAAAGCCTTGTTTTCCACTGGCGTGGGCTCTTCACCCCCCTTCTGCTTCGGGCCATCTGCAGGCATTTGCCTCTGTTTACCTCTGGCCTTCCGGCCTCTGCAAAGGCGATGACCTTGGTTCTCACGAGAAACAGAGCTCTCAGCTGCTGACTCCTTGGCTCCCCCTTGAGGCTGGAATGCTGCCTGGGATGACATCACAGTCAGCTCCCCCTGCAGCTTGCAACCGGTGCCCTCGGCATCCCTGCATTCACCCACACTCTGGGAAACAGCCAGGACCTCCGATGCAGTCAAACTCTGGGCTGGGATGACTGGCAGATGGGCTATCTTCAAAGCATTCCACATCTTACGTGCAGTCACGTTGCCAGCTAATGTTTTAATCTCCTCCAGAGAGATGGACAAGACTATTACGTCTATGGCCTTCAAATTTTCGGCCCTCCATCTATCTGTCAGAGGAACTGGAGGGGCTTCAGACACAGTATGCCACACTCCAAACTGACGCAGCAAACTCTCACACCACACAGCCCAGGTCTCATAATTGTGCGGATTTAACTTTGGGCACTCAGCAGCTTTAGAAGCTTGGAAAAACTCCATTCCAGCTCTTCACTTGAGCCGTGAGCGCTATTCACTTCAGAGGCTTCTTATCTTGGCACCCATAAATCATGAAGCCTCTGGCGCAGCTCCCAGACCAATTAGGCCAGCCAGACATCAAAGAGACTTTGCCGCGGCAACATAAAAGCCTCATTTCTGCCCACATACCTCTCAGCAGTCCGTCGCAGTCTTACTCTCCTGTAAGTGCCGTGAATCTGGGCCCATAACCTGTTGTTGGGATACTGCCAGGGAGACAAAGTCCATCATGGTCCCAAAAGTTGCCTCTGGACGTCCCATCGATCTCCTGTAGATACAGTATCAGCAATTAGCGACATGAGCTCCAGAAATAGCCTGCCATCATTCTCAAGCTCATGCACGCTCTATCAGCAGATAATGCACAGCAAAAGTTGCACGCAGGAGAGCATTATTTACAAGTTTTATTCAGCGTTGATCAGAACAAAAGAACATGACTGCCTGCTTCAGTGTCTCCAGACACAGAGAGAGCGAAAGCAAAGACACAACAGAAACATCCTGTGAAACAGGAAATACGCAGGCTGTGTGACTCACAAAGCCTGCTCCCTTTTAAGGTGGAAAGGAAATATCCTAACAGTGGCATCTTGCTAAAGGAATGCCTTTCCCAGAGATACTTGCCTGGTGCCAGTGCATGGCAAAGCACAAGTCCAGGTTCAGGTGACATGCTAAGCTAAACCATGGACTCACTCACAGCAGCAACAGCAGAGAAGGGGGAAAGCGGCCATGATTTCCTCTCCAAGAGTTTGAATGCTTGTATGTTTCCAGTAGGCCACAGTTTGGGTAAGCATTATGTGTGAATCAGCTTATTCTGTATTGTCTACACTTATTGGCAGTAACCCTCTGGAGTTTTAGACAGGATTCCCCACCCCACCCCCCGCTTAGTCCTACCTAGAGAGATCAGGGGTGGAATATGGGGCTTTCTGCATGCAGAGTGTGTGTTCTACTACTGAGCTGTAAATAGTCTTATTTGCTTCAAGCAATTACATAAAGATGTCTGCAGACAGGGCCAGGTAGTGTGCCCAATGAGTATATTCTTTGTAGAATTCCTCCTTCATATGAATAACATATGAAGGGGTTTAGTTCTTCATCCAATCTACTTAACAAGATTATTTTTGGATAGAAAGGAATAATTCATTGCATGCTAGCCTGAGCTCTTTGGGGGCAGAAGTAGGTTACAAATGTAATAAAGTCATAAAATCTGATGGAGATTTGCTTTCCTTTTGTTTAAATAATTTCTTAATATCATATCCTTTAATGCAGAAAGTGGGGGGGAACTATGTACAAATTTTCAGCCAGTATCTCTAAAATCTCGCTTGGATCTAGATTTAATCCATATGGGAACCATGCTTAGAGTAGATCTATTGAGACTTAACTTCAGTGAGACTTAAGTTACTCAAAACCAAATTAATTCCCATTAATTTCAGAGACTCTAAGCTGTCTCTCCTCATATCAGTCTCTACAGCCATAGCAGGCACTGCAATTCTCCAGTGGTTTGACTTCACCCCCGAAGGCACACATTTCCATTGTCTTCCAAGGCAGATGGATGCCAACCACCCTCATCATAACTAAGTCTGGATCCAGCCCAATGTGCATACACTCTATGCTAGTAGAAAAATGATAAGCAGTAATATCACATTTATAAGTAATAATTAGCAAATTTCTATGTGATGTGAGAACAGTGGGATTAATTTAATTTCAGTGGGTCTGAAGTAGTCCTAACTATCCCAAAGACCCACAGATGACATTATCTGTGGGTTTATTACTTTCCATTTTTCAGTACTTCATAACCCACTGTGTTTCTCAACAATTTGAAGGGTGTTTTTTTTTTTTTAGTTCTTGCCTAAATCTGCATTGTGCATAAAATTTCTGTTTCTCAAACTCTGGTCAAATTCAAGATAAGACAGAAATGCCCTTATTCCCTTCTTCTTCTTCTTCTTCTTCTTCTTCTTCTTCTTCTTCTTCTTCTCCTCCTCCTCCTCCTCCTCCTCCTCCTCCTCCTCCTCCTTCTTTTGCATGGCAACCTGAAAGTTTATCAGATCGCCTTCTCAGCACCACTTCTTCCTCCCCTGCAACTCCTTCCTTCATCTTCTGATTACTAATCTAAGGATAAAATCTGGAACAATCATGTGATACTTTATTGTCCTGTGCCATATTTGCCTTAGATGAGGTGGGGAGCATGATGGTAAATGTACCTGCCACAGCTATAAGTAGCAAGAACTCTATACTATTAATGATTGCTTAGGAAGCTCAGAAGTGCTCATAACCTTGACCATATACTGAATTATGAGTGATGCTGTAATTCAGCAGAGGTGTATTCAAAGTGCAGTGTAAGCCAGACCACTATTCCTGGTTGCCATCCAAACTACCATTACAGGAATATCTTTAGTTTGCTTTTAACATGGGCAGGCTCAATAGATTGACAAAACGCATTCATAGCTTTCATCCTTTCCAGGTAGACAACATCAAAGCAGTAAGGCTGCATCATGCTTTAGAATCAGCTTCAATACTTTGCGGCTCAAAGAGATGCCCAAGGCAAAATCTATTTGGGAAAATGAAAGCCTTGTCCCATTGCAACTTTTGGTGTAACCAGGTACACACACACACACACAGAGAGAGAGAGAGAGAGAGAGAGAGAGAGAGAGAGAGAGACATACACACACTCTTTTGGTGTAACCATATATACCTTTCAGCTTTAAATTCTCACTGTGGTTCTATGGCTGAAAGCATGGGGAAAATGAACTTTTACTAGCTGGTTGTGCTACAATGATAACTTTGAAAGAAAATTTCTAACACAACTGGAACAAAGTATGAAGAAAACAATATATGAAGCATGGAAGCATTATATAGTAATAAATAATAAAAAACCTGGAAAATATTTCCTCATGGTGCTTCAAATCTCACTGGGAGTTCTATTGATTCAGATCCATGGAACTGAAAGTTTGGATCTGCTTTGGAATATGGCAGATCCATTATTGTGCCATTTGCATATAACACGGCATCATGGAATTTGTAGGATTCATGATGGAGAGCTAGAACTATCAAATTATAGTGCACATGAATGTGCATGCACACTTCAAGATCACAATACTGTATGGGATGTATGATGTAGTAAAAGGTACAAAATGTTAATATATTACATACATGCATAGCAGCCTGCATGTTTGTTCCCAATATTTATTCTCACAACTATCTAAGTTAGGTTAGGCTGAAAGGTATATGCTGTATAAATAGGTATTTTCAGAGTAGAGGGTATTCCAGAAGAAAATAACAATGGAGAGAGGACTGTGCCACCAACAGACCCTTGCATGTGGACCAACATGAACCATCTGAATGTTGCTATATGATATGACTGCTTGATGGCATCTGTCTGTCTCTTCACCTTTGCTGGTGAAGTCAAACTGTCAAAAGGTTACAGTACCTGCTGTGACTGTAGGACTGTAGACCATGATAAGATGGGCGAGATAAAGGGAAATAGCAATCAACAAAGAACAGTGCCCTACTTATTTACCATGGACTGCTATCTTGACAGCTATAATGCAAAGTCTCCCCTTCTACTGCTGCTTCCACGTGTTTAGAATTGTTTTGACAATGAAGTCATTAAAAAGTTCTGAAGCATTTTGTACCTGCACCCCCAGCCCTGCCAGCAAAAGTAATTGTAACTTTATAGATAACCCATTTTGTCCAATACATCTTACAGAGAAGACTTGACTGAAGAATTCTCATTCTACATTCAGGTTGCAGTGATCCAGATCTGCATCCAGCAAGATGTAATGTAAGGGAAATGATGACTCATTGTCGGAACAAATGAAACAGAATCATTGTGTCGACTTGCAATATTCAGCTAATATTTTTTGAGGCTGCAAAACACATTATTAAATTTCCACTATGTTAACTGATGGGAATTCAAATTCTGCTAAGTGCATAACTATGAATATTATGTCAGCCATTGGAAAGACCTCACTTCTCAGATGAAAACTAATAATACGGGTGGCAAATTCTGAAATTATTCCTAATGAATGATTCAGGCATTTTCCTGAGACTAACCACTGAAATTGCACCATAAAAGCTTAGATGTCCTGAAATATAGCAGATAGGAAGGTATAAATCTACTTTATCTATACTTTTTAATGAATATTTCATCTGATTTCTCAAAATGGGCTGATGCCATTTCGATAAAGGCTACGGTGAGAACAAAAAGAAAAATGCAAAAGGTTGGTAGGAGGATATGCACAAATACTGTGCCTTAAATACATAGAGAAATGCAGAATTTATCCTTGGTTTTCTAATCAGGAGATTCTATTATAATGGCAATGTTTTGTGTCTTCCGCTTATTACAAATAGAGCACATTTTTGTTCTTCATGGCCTGTGTCCAGCTGTTTGCCGGAACATGCGAATATCAAAGTGTGGATGGGAGCGGGGATCCTACAGGCAAGCCCATGCCCAACATCTTTATGTGCATCCTCCCCCCCCATTCTATTATATGGGGCAGGGCTGCATGGGGCTTTTACTCATGGTCATTTGAATGCAAGTAGAAACGTGCTGGTGAGAACTCTAGTAAAGCAGAGTCCATGATCATGCAGAGGATTCACATTCAAGTGAATGTGAGTAAAAGGCCCATGCGGACCTTCTCTATGCAGCATGGGGAATGTTGGTGAATGAGTGAAGAGTGATGACATGTAGCAGGTCATTGCAAGTGGAACTTTCAACCTCTTGTAATCTGTTTTTATCTCAGTCTAGTATGGTTAACACAAGAGCTCATGTCAGTTTTATGCACCACACCCAGAGAGAGCACTGCAGCAGCACCAGATTTAGGGTGGTGAAGGCGGTTCCCCCACACAAGACAGGCTGAGCCAAGGGGGCATATCATGATCATCCCTATATTTATACAGGTACCTTCTAAGAAAATCCACAAAAAAGCAATTGTACAAAAAAGAATTATTGCGAAAATAAGAATATATTTTGGGGCCGTGGCCCCAAATTTTGTCCTCCAAAGTCTGCCCATGACTACAATGAAGGTGGAGGTATGTTTGTTGAGGAAGGAATGAACACAGATTTTCTCCCTCCCTCGCTTGCAATTCAAAATCTGAAGCTGAATAGTGGGAGATTCAGGGCAGGCAAGAGGAAGTATATAGAGCAGAGCAGAGTTGAACTATGGAATTGGCTACCATAAAATGTGGTATCTTAGTTCTGGAACTTGTTAGACAAATTCTAGAACGAACTAGTTTTGGATAGGCTTGCTAATCCCTACAATAGAAAATGGATTGCCCCTGGAATATCACTATCCCATTATGAATTTCTAAACTATTTTCTTTCAAAATATATATATATGGATTCATGTTAAAATCCATATGCTTTTTGAGCTGTAAATTATGCTGCAATATCCAGAGAACTGCCAAACCTGGTGGTTAGTTATGTTCTAATTTGCACATTAAGTCAGAACCCTCAAGCATCTCTGCACCAACAAAATTTCAACGAAAAGCAGCCCTTGCAGCCAGCTGCTTATTTGGTGGAAATGATAGCCCAATAAAACATTTGACGCTGTTTCCTATAAGCCTTGATGCTATTCCATTTAGAATCAATATTTAATTTGTAATTGAATATAATATGTTAAATAGATAGCCACACCTTATTGTTTCAGTTGCTTGCTATCACTAACCGAAAGGATTCTAGATAAAGCAGTCCCCATCAAAAGACCTTATCATTGGAACTCTGCTACCACTGAGATATAAAACTGCCTAACAGTGCAAATCATAAGCATATTTACTTGAAGGCAAGTCCCAGTATGTTGAATGAGACTTACTCTCAGGAGACTGTGTAGAATACAGCTTAATTTCTGTTGGATTATTCTCTTGTCATTTGGGGGATGAGGGCTTGTTTGGAAAAGAAATCAGATCAAAAATTGTTTGAACACCAAACTGGGCATATGTGAACTTAGATCATGGTCCCTCTGCTAAAATATATGATAAAAGGTTAACCCTGATTCATCAGGCAAGGAAACAAACATACACATGCAAGAGCTCTCAGATTGTTTCATTTATTTCTGTTTTATTGCTCAGACACAAAAGGAGAAATAGATGAGATAAATGCATTAATTTTCTCTCTTCTCCTGTTTCTCACTCATATAGACCCATTTCTTGCTCTTGTTATTCAAGCATGCCTTATCTCCCTTTCCCCCCTCCTTACACCTTGTCTATTTCTCATGTATTTTTAGCCTGTCTCATTTTCTCAACCATTTCTCTAGACTTATCCAGGCAGGGTATGTCTTCACTTATATTAACATTCAGTTAGGGCTCCCATGCTGCAGTAATGAAAGGCTTGACAGATCCTTAACTACCGCAATCCCACCTGTCTCTCTTACATATGTTTCTTTATTGCTCAAGCATTTCTCTTTTAATCTCACTTCTCATTCTCACCTTTCTGCTTTTCATTATGGCTCCTGCACTTGCTGATTGAGGCCCCAATAAGAAATGCTAGAAACATTAAACAAGATATTGCAGTGAGGAATTTCTTTTGTGCAAAGATCTAGATGAGATGTGGCTAAAATAGATACTTCCCTTCTGAGTTTCCCCCCTTGGGGCTTTTTGTTCCTTTCACTTTAAAAATAAAAATAATAGCAACAACTAGATTTGTTCAAGTTTGTCCAATCTGGACTGTGTTCAATATATCTCTTTTTGGAAGTGAAACAACCTCAACAGAAAACAAAAACAGAACCCAAAAGCTTCTATTAATATAAAATCTTGCAAGAACACAGCAGATTTTAAACAATCCATACATCGAGTCTCCTATTAGTTTTTTTTAAGGCTAAAAAATAGGGCTGCAAGTTTTATATCAGTAGGTTAATCAGTGTGGCCCATTTTTTGTTACAGAGCTGATTGTTAAGGAAATATTTTTTGGCAGTTACAGTATTTCAGTTTTGGTATAATAGAAATAAAAAACACTTTTTAAAAAGATGGCTGCACTTTAGAGTGGCACTGAACTGCAAATTGTATCATACTTCTTTAATGTTACTGCCCTAAAAATAAATAAATCTACATTTAGCATCCAGCAATACGAAGTTTAAATATAATAATTTCAAAGGCAAAAGGTAAGAGGAAGGTGC